GATTTTACGAAAACCACAAGGACAACAACCGAATTTTTATTCACATATCAAACAGCTGAATCCCAAAGATCATTTTCATATTAGGAAGTAATACCTTCAGAAAAAGTTTTTATAACAGAAAAAAAATTTCAGCTATCAATAGCCGAAAAACCGTTTAAGGGATAATACTAATACACTATATGCATTATGTGCACTGTGCGCACAGTGTGCGAAAAAAAATCAGGGTTACTATGAATGGCACATCTCTAGACACCACATTATATCAATACAAATAAAAAAAAGTACCTCTGGTTAGTTATTAACACTTCTTCAGAGTCAAACCATATCAAACAATAATGCTCACGTTTGGTCATCTTGTAAAAAGTAAATTGTTTTTCAAAAAAAAAAATCAATTAGTGTTTGTATTATCATGTAGTTATCCACAAAAAAAACCCCCCGCGATCGCCAAATCGATTTCTAAATAAGGATAACACGCACCCAACCCACCAATAAAAATTGGATATTCTGAGGTTTCATGAAATTTGCAGATTTTTTTTGTGTCTGTCCCCCAAAAAAAACCATGCATAAATAAATTAGTGTACACGTTTGTTGATCAATTCTTTTTTTAAAAAAATCAATTCTAAAATGCCAAAAGACCAAAGAGATAAGAATAAAAGAAAACAGGAATTTGAAAACAGGTGTGTTTATCATAAGAATGGTGGTGGTTATTGCCACTTGTTGTGATCACGGCCACTTGTTATCATTCTATATAGTTAAAAAAATTATCATCAACTGATAAAATGAGTAAGATTTTTCAATTCCTGAAGTGTTGTGAATTTTTTTTCAATAATGATAATGATAAAGAACGATTACTAGAGCAAATAACAAACCTGAAGGATGAAGTTGACATAAAAAACGAAGATATAAAACAATTAAAATATAAATTAATTACAGAGATGGAAATCAATGAATCACTGTCTGAAGAGAATGAACAATTAAAAAAAAATGAAGAAAAAAATAGAGGTGAAAATACATTAAATGTAAAATTTGCTTGGACAAGTCTATAACACATTGTTTCTTACCATGTAACCATTTGGTTGTATGTGAAAATTGTTCAAAGAAAGTTAATAATTGCATTATATGTAGAGTAAAGATCAAAAGCACCACAAGAATATATATTTAGTTTTCTTTTTACTTTTGTAATTGATTATTATACTTTAATATTAGTTGAGATATTAACTATTGCATTTACTAAATAATAATAATATTTATCATCAATAAATTACTTGCTTATATAAAAAGTTTTATTTTATTATATTCAATCAAGTTCAGAAACATACTTCACAAATTTGCATAATCTTGTATGAACTTAAATAGGGAATCATTTATCAACAGGCAGCTAATGTGTAACAATTTACATTATTCATAATTAATAAAATAATCAATTGTACTATAATTCTTAGGTTCCATAGTAGATCTGATGTAAATGAGTTTCATATTAACTATTTTATATAGGGATAGTTCTATATATCACTTAATATTAAGATAAAAATGGATATTATTATTATAAAACAAGTCCTTCAGTTTCAAAATTTCTAACTACATCTGCCATTGTCCTCTCTTCTGTTATTGAGTCAATTGAAGATAAGGATGATGATGAGGAAGGTGAGGAAGCATTTGAAATACATGGTATTGAATATGCAGTTAAGTGAAAAAATATTTTCTGGTCCTTTAGCCTTATTGTTATTATTACATAAAATGTTACAAGGATTATTTATATTGTTTGAAGTACTCAAACTAGCCCTATCAATTTAAAATGGGTATATTTCCCCAATCACAGCCAAAGATAGACGGTTGTTCTTTGGGAATTGAATTAATTTGCATTTCAAGAGGGAATAACAGATATGGTGATGAAATAATACCAAAATTTACTTTAGACAGGACATAACTTACTAATCATGAAAATGTGATGCACATGGAAGAAAAACTAGAATGCGAGTATATCAAAAGTGATACAAGATCCTCTTCATCATGAAGCATCAAAAACCTTACTGTTGGTCTCAGAAGAGATTCGATCCTATGACTTTGTTGATGATAGAAAACTTCATAGGTCTAGTTGCTTTGCACAATACTCAATTAACAATTATTGGTGAGTAGTGTAAACAATGTAAATGATCATGAAGAATATTCACCACAAGATGCAAGTATGACTGATAAATAAAAAACTGTTTTTTTTTTTTTAATCATTATGCTGAAGAGAGAACTCCATACATGAATACAGTTATTATCAATAACACAGAAAAGTCATTATTATTCAAATATAGAATTTGCAATTTTTCTTGCAAAAGTAAAATGTAAATATTTTATTTCAGAAATAATATAATCATGATCAAATACAATGTCATCAATATTCTTTGATCATTTAATTGATTGTCAATTGTTGATTTTCTTTTTGATTTAATTGTTGACGAATGGATATAGTCAAATGATTAATGATTAGAACCAACCAAATTTATTTTAAAAAAATAAAATAATTTGTTTATCTGTTTAGTTGATTGATAAATCTCAGATCTCAAGATAATAAATTCACTTGATTTTTTTAGTAATAATAAATAATTTAAATCTAATGTAATTATTTTTCATGGAACCAGTTGAGGATTTTTATTTTCTCTTTTATATCAATTATTGAATATACATTTCTGATATTTATTTGCAGATCCACTCAAATTTAATTCTTTTCTGTCCACTTTGCTTATTAGTCGCAGGACATTGCGGATCAAATGTCATTCAATATAAACGTTACACGAATAAAATTATTATCGTCCACTTCAAAAAAAAAATTCTCCGTTTTTCATATAGCAAGCGATTTTCAACCATAATAAAAATTTTAGAGCCAGACTAGAACTTTCTAACAACAGTTAAAAGAAAAGGTTAGC